ACAGCCCCTGACCTTTTGAGTGGACGGACCCGGCTCATGCTTGCAGAGGCCTTACTCGCGTGGGGAACCAGACCGGCCTACTCAGAGTACGTCTGGTTCCTGGCTTACCTCTTGCTGGATTGGACCCAGTGAATTATGCTGGCCAGAAGTGTCTCCACACAATCCTGTTCTCTGGATCCCACCGAACTGGTGGTAAGAGTATTGTAGAATTCTGATGCAGCAAGTGTGCAGCTTCAGATCCAGAGATGCTGCATGAACCATGTTGATTCCAGCCAGCTTCTGGGTTTAGGAGTAAGGGGTTAAACCTGGGCTAAGCTGAAGTTCCTCTTATGAGAAAGGAACTATCAGTTAATTATCTGAGTAGTTTTGATAGGTAATAAAAACTCGCAGGAGACGAGGTTTGTCTTTTGGGTTCTAATAAAGGAACCCTTTCAATAAATCAACACAGTAAAATCAGCCAAAAGGCCACAGTAAAAATGATCAAGAACAACAGTAAATCCATATAAAATATTTTTTGTGAGTTTTGTTATTTCATGATTTTTTTGGTTAATAAGGCAAAACGAAAATCATTACACTTCTAGTTAAGCATTAAACATTAACACATGTCTTTTGAACTAAAGTTTAAGCAAAATATGAGATTATTAAATCAAGAAATATAAACCGAAAGAATGTAAAATTAAAGATGCAATTGAAAATCAAGCAATCAAAATGTTGAGCATTTCCAGCTCAAAGTTCAGAAGATTAAAACATAAGTAAAATTAAACTGAAAGGTTCATATAAAAAGAATGTCAAGCAATTAAGATTAACAAGTAAGAGAAATGTAAATGATGGGTAACTAAACCCTTTTAAAAAATAAGTACAATTATTGTTTGAATTTAAACAAATTTCAGCAATTTACATCTACTATAGTTTGATGGAGAAAATCCTCTGATGAGCCTTCGAGCACTGCTACGTAAGTTTATTGTCTACCGGTTTTAGTCAGCACCTCATGCACTGCCACTCTTAAGTTTTGACCTCTATCCTATCATTCATTTATATACATACGGATATGCATGCTAATAAATGCAGCGCCTAAAGCACTGGTCCTTTATGCCATCTTGGTGCGGCCCGTGTTCACAACGCTCATTACAGATTTGATTAAAAAATGGTTCACACGCGAAGAGCGTTCTCTAAAGTCCTGCGAGGCTCTCCGCCTTCAAGTTACAGAAGGACAAATTGCACCTGAGAGCCCTGTTCGTTCTTTGTCGGTCACTTTTATAGCAAAAATCACTGCGCTTTTGGCTCATGAGGGGACTGTCTGCATCAGGCAGTGACATCGTTGACCTTTTACTTCGTAGGTGTAACCACAGCTTGTGCTGTTATGTGTTCTTAAAGTTGTAACCATATCCCGACTCTTAGGCAATGTGACATGGAGTTGTTTTCATCTTCAGCATAGGTGTGTAACCACATTCTGAGATTAGATGTAGGTGAAGTCAAGTTTACGCTTACGCAGGTGCTGAACATGTGGAAAACATTTGAGGGCAGATCTCGTCGCCCCCGCTGTGGTTTCTCAGGTGTTAGCGGTGTGACGCACATTCCCTGTATCTCAGAGCTTCTGCACCTCTTGCACGCGTTTAGCAGGAAGGCTCAGATCCAGCACCTGGTCCCATCAAACATCATGTCTTCTGTTTGTCCATCGCGGTTTCCTGTTCACACTGAGAGGGCCACCGAGGGGGTCACAGGAGCGTTCCTGAGGCGGCCCTCGCCCCATGAAGAACAACATATGTGCGATCCAGGGCCTGAGGCAAAGTGGATTAGAAAATAACTCTTTTAACCTCGTTGACTTGAATTAATTTTTTCATTCTTCTGGAGACCCATGAGCCGACCGGAAAGGGAGGAGACTTAGACTCTTTATAGGGCACCAACCAATAATAACCAAGAAACTTCCGGACGTCACAGAGCAGATCTGCCAGCGCGCTCTGATCTTGCTTGTCGAAGAGTTTTCAACTCTAAAGAAACTATTGTCTGAACTTATAACGTATGGAAAACGTAACTTTCATTATTATGTGATCAAAGACTTTTTTTATACCTAAATTCTCTCATTTTAAAACAGAAAGGGGCCATGGTTACTCAAACGGTATTTCAAGGATTTATTGAACAGTAGAACAAAAAGAAAAAGAAGCAAAGTTTCCCCTTGTCAGCACTTTAAAAGAAAAGCACTTATTTTGGAGAACTTCTGAAAACTTCATCAGAAATAAATCATCTCCCATTTGATCAAAAAGCTTGCAGAACATTTATGAAAAATAGTACCGCTTCTCAGTTCACCTGGATTTCTCTGCTCTTAATAAACGATAGAAAAAAGGAACTAAAAGGCTTCTTTTTTTACGCTCCATTGTTCACCACCAGGCGAAAACCCACCAAACAACCAAATGGCTGGGCTGAGCTGAGTGAGTCATTACAGAAAGGTAAAGCGGCTGCAGAAGGCTCTCAGAGAGCAGACCACCCACTCACGTCCCCCATTAAGAAGACTGTCTCCTCAACGCCCCTGCAGCAATTTACTGGTCGGCCTGTGTGTGTGGAGGGTGAAATGATGGTGAAAGACAGAATCCTTAATGAGATATGGGTCAATGAAATGTCAAATCTGGACTTTGAATGGAGAGAAAACAGCCCAGAATGCCACTGAAATTTCAGTCTATCAACTTCAAAAGGTAAAACTCAAATATAAAAAAATAACAGCTTTGAAAGGCCAGTTTATGTTTTTACTGTAAATGGATACATCAGATGTGTTTTATCAACACTTTGTGTTTTTGTCACGAGCACAAACTCATTGGTTTAAGCTAACCAGCTAATGAATAGAACAAGCCATTCCTATTGATTCGTCCCTTCATAACCTTTTATCGTCTGCCGAAAACCCACTGGACCAGAATCACTCCTCCAGGCGCCTCTTTTATTCAGCTCGGTGACCTATGCAAGAGCTTCATGTCCGTCTCACAGTGTCCTCTTGTTTTATTCATTGCACCTTTACCATTATGTGTCTCCCTGGTGTGAAGGAACTTGGCAGGAGTGCACAAGAATCTGGGTCAAACCACACACTTTGATGGATGGGTTGTCCCACATTCTTTGACACAACGATGACATTCAGATGGAAGTGAAGAATCCCACAGTCACCACGGATCTCATTAGTGATCACTGTGTTTATCCAGGGACAATGTTGCTGTTAAAATCAAATAATGGGCTGAAGTCACATGTCGCTACCATGGAGACCCCAATTTCCAGGTAATTTAAAGAAAACCTTGTTATGGCTGAATGCACAACATCTTCCCAAAAACAATACAAGCAAAAAACTTTTAAAATAGCACAGCTCCCTCCTCAATATCCGGTTTCTCATTTTTCCTCGAGCATTAAAAATGTTCTCACAGAAAGGTTTTTCTGAATCAGGAATTAAAGGAGCATGGGGCAGGATGAAGAAACGAAACTCTTTAGCGACGCACTCGGCGCTGTGAGTAACTGCAGCCCGGCACGAGAGCGCGCACAAACTCTTCACTAGAAAAAAAGTTACAGTGATGTACGGCCAGAGCGCGGCTCGAACAAGGCACCGTGTCGAGCGATGAAGTAAGTAACATTGTTACTTTAGTCTAATATTTGTACAATTCCATGACAACATTAGCATTTTAATTTAGCCATGACACTCGTGATGTAAAGCAAGTGCTGCTTCCTATGAAATATTCATAAGCCAGTTTTGTGACAGGCGAGCAAGACAGTAACATGATGCTACTTTATCAGCATAAGGCTTTGTGGCTGCAGGTGATTTCTGATGTTTTTAGACCAATTACAGTTATTATTTTGCACTAAGCTTACTAACAAGCTAATGTTATTGTTTATACATCATGTAAGAACATCCAATTTCAAGTCACTGACATCATTTGTGAAACCAATTTCATTACAGGACAGGCATCACAACAATGTAAATAAGAACATAAATATCAATGCTTAGTTCAAAAATGCATCAAAATAAAATCATAATATCAACAAGACCTACAGGGTAATAGTCATTTTTCTATTACTGTCATTGATTTTCAGGAATTCACATTGGAAGGAGTGATGGAAGACAGTTCAGATGGAGTGTGCCCGAGCATGCCACAGACTTTGATGTGTCGTGGGAAAGTCTGAGAACAGGGGCTAAAGGAAAGGGGAGAGGAAAAGGTCGCTCCGAGGGTCGGGGAAGGACACGCTCAAGGGGTGAGGGCAGCAGGTTGAGGTCCAGAGCTCCTTCAAGAGGACCAGGGCGCTGGGGTAGGCAGCGAACAGCTTTCAGAGAAGAGGACCGAGACCGGCTTGCACAGCTGAGAGCTGCCAGTATAGCTGAGATGCAGGTTGGTTGTAGCCATTTGTGTAAAAAAAAAAAAATAAAATAATAGATGCCAAAAACGAAAACATCGCTCACTGGAGATATGAATCTAGTCATGTAAACACATGCTCTTTAATTTCTAGACAGCTTTACAACACCTGAGCCAGGAGGAGAGAGATTATATTCTTGAGAGAGTGGTGACCCGTCTTCCAGGGGTGATGCTGGATATCCTGGAGTTTCGGCAAGACGCCAGGACACCGTCTTCCTGACTGAGGGCACCCTAACCCAAAAATCCAAACCGTTTATCTACAACTACAGTAGTTCCAACACAGCACAATACCTCAAAATAACTTTAGCTGAAGACAGCATTTTCACCCAAAAATAAACAAACAGTTTGTGCAATATATTTATTTATATTTATGTACAAAAAAGTTCTGTTATTTGCATTTGTACATAGTATTTTTTCTTAATTTCTAATAAATCTGTGAGCATTAAAGAAGTCATTCCTGTCTTTTGATGCCTCACGTAGCTGGGGCCTTTATGGAGAGGAGAACAGCAGCATTAGATCATACATAGATTACATGAGAATGCAATTCTGGAAACTCTCCAGTTCTGAAGTTGACCTGTAAAAAAACAAAAGCTACAACTTTATAGATTATCAGGAATCACACTTTTGATTGCCTTTTCACCCACAATTGTCATTTCTATATGTAAATTTTCAGCTTTGATATTGACACTTTAGCTTTTTTGCTTATGAAAATGTTATTAATATACCTAAAGGTCAGATTGGTGACATCCTTCAACCAGCGTCTGTTGAACATGATTCGTTGAAGAGCCTCGTGTGGTGGAGATCATGGTACCATGAGCTCTTTATCACTGGTCGTTGCATCAAGTGGTCCATGGTCACATTTGCCACGGGTCCATTCATGCTTCCCTGTGACATGGTGAAGCACACCCACCCACATGTCCTAACAGAAAAAATAAGTTTTATTTGAAAACTTTGCATGTGACAGAAGCGCTCACAAACAGAAACACGAGACCTGGCACTATTATGAAAAGAAAGGTAATTATGTCAATGTGCATTGTTGTCTTGTTGTCCAAAAGATGTCACAATACTTACATTAAACATATCACGATGTTGTGCTTTCTGGCAAATGTACCAAAATTGGTTGAAGATGTCATTCAGCCACACAAGTAGGATGGAAATTCCCTTTAGGATCCCAGCCTGTGAACAAAGATAAAACAACAATTCCATCTTTTAGTTCTTTTTAAAACATAGAAGGGTTTTATTTACCTGCAACGTTTTGTTTGCGGCTGCAAATTTCGTCAGCCTGACAAAGTTTCCATAACAGTTCTATTCTGTTATGAAAACAATAAATAAAAGTAGAATTAATATATTGTTTTAAGACTTTGGAGTTTAAAAAAAAATGTAGATAAGAATAGGGCTGGGCAATATGGCCTCAAATCTATATTGCGATATAATCTGAAGCATGTGCAGTAACGATATATATTGCGATATATTTTTTCATCTGTTTATAGATGTCAAATTGACATGCTTTTAGATATCCTCATGTGGCAAATATATGCCACTTGAGGCATATAGGCCTCCTCCTCCGCCCACTCCATGCTTGCAGTCACTGCCATTCTGTTGTCCCATTGTCAGCAGGGTGCACATCTTAGTGACGTCATGTGTTATCACAATATCGCCGTATTGCGATATAGCCAAAAACTATCATTACCTGTTACAGACTGTTACGTCCCCTTTTTCAGTGGGGCCTGTAAGTACTTGTGGTTATTGTATTTTATTTTTATTTTTGGCATACTCATTGTGGAGCGGCAGAGCGGAAGAAACCTGTCGGTGAGTGAGAACCAGGAAGAGCGTCTCGTCTCCATGGCGACGTCGGGGATTCCCTCAAAATGAACGTGCGGCAGTGATGTCATCCAGGAACCCTGGTTGAAGCGCGGAGAGTCCAGCTGCATGAGATAAGGACTGATTGTTTCAGCTGTGCCGGAGAGGATAAAGACAACGTGGGATCAGCTGTTCGAGGAGCAACTCTTACCCATGGGTTGTCTCCCTGCTCCTCACTCCCGTTGAGTTCCGTGTCTGATTGTAATCAAATCGAGTGCGTGTTTTAGAGGTCCTACGCTAGACAGATGGTGGTTATAGTTTTCGTTTATTAGATTTGTTTATCTTGATCCAGAAGTGTAGAACACCAGCCTTTAATTTGTAAAGTTTTATAGGTTCCAGCTAAACCAGTAAGCTTGGTATATTTTGTTGTATTTTATCCCTGGGGCTTGTTCCCCAGCCCTTTTCCTTTTGTGTAACTGGTATTATCCTGTGAGGCGGTTATATCCCCTCCTTTTATGTTATTAAAAGATATTGTTATTTAACAGCCCTACGACTCCTCCCACTCCTTTTACCTTCATTTAATTACCTGTGCCCGGATCCTAAACTTGAGTCGTAACACAGACGTTGTCTGTTTTGTGGCCACAAGGTGGCCTCAGAGCTCCTACCTGTTCACCTGGCTCTAGCTGAGCCAGGTGTCGCTAATCTTCTCAATCAGGGAGCTTCCTATAAAAGGCAGCTCCCTCTGTCATTCGAGGAGGGAAGCTTAGCAGAGGCCTGGTGTTAAAGCGAGTGTTCCTCTTTTTCCCTCCTAGCAAACCAGATGTTAAAGTCTTTGTTTTGATTACCTGTGTGGTACACTTCCTAGTAGCCAGAGCTAATTTTTGTCTCCATTAGAATACTCGTTAAAGAGGTCAGCTCACCCTTTTGGTGTAGCCTTTTGTGTTTGTCTCATTCCTTTACTTTCCCGGATTAGTACTGGCGTTTTGTGTTTATTAATAGTATTGTTATTTACCCAGTACTGGATGATCCTTCAGTTTAGTATTGTTAATTCCCCAGTGGGACATCCTTTTGGTTTTGAATTCATTTTGTCTTAGCCTGCATAAAGCAGTGTTTTTTAGTTAATAAACTCCTAAGAGAGTAAATCTTGGTTTTGTCCGGTAATTCACATATCTTTCTTTACGCCCCCTTTAACATCATCTCCTAGACGAGCTGGGGGCCGTAAAATTACCCAATTTTATATCATTTCTACCTTATATCGTTTATATTGCCCACCCCTAGATAAGAAGACATTGCAACTCACACACTGTTGAGTAAGTTGTTTGCTTGGTCCTCATCAATTTGGACTGCATCCGTAGCTAGATCCATGGATTTGAAACTACAGACAACACAATAATATTTGTTGTACGTAAAGATAAATACTGGAACTTACCTGAAATGGTACTGATTCTAAAGAGATAAATGTGGAGCCTAATACATCTGTCATTAATTATTTCTGCAAATAACAACAATCTGCTGTGAATTGACACTTCACAACATAAATATATATAATGACCTATATTTGCTTATCTATTGTGTTTTTATCTTTTTTGCACATAGTACAGCAGTAATTTCCTGCGTATATGGCAAGACTTCTCATGAACAAATTTACCTTTCTTCAAAAGGATCCAAATCTTGGTCATCAGTGCCTCAACACCAGCCATTAGAAAATCTTCCCTGTAAAGATAATGTCAGAAATGTTTGGTGGTGTGATGTTAGTTCTGAACCAAGTGTGGATATGCAAGGTGTAATTTAATGTATGAAATATCATAGCACAAAAACGTGAATATTTGTTTTACAGAAAATATACTAACCCCTCAGACACAGGTTCAATTGGAGATAATCGATGCGACATTTTAGCTGCTGTTCGCTTACTGGGTGTTGAGGTTGACTGCACATTACCTCCCTGAATTGCAGTTTCAGGAGCCTGCTTCTTCCGGTAGCTGGAAAACACATTTTTAAACAAAAATGTCAACAAGTTGGTTGAGACTCTACACCTTCTGTTTACATAGATCAATAATGGCTAAGCTTCTTTACCTGTGGCACAACTAGTAATATGAAAATGCATGTCAGTTATAAAAAAATTTATTTATCATTTTCACAAACATATTTTATTCTGACCTACATTCAACTGGACAAATTTAGAAAAATAAACACAAACTTCTGCACAACTTTACTTTTAGGCAAACGTCTTGTTATGGCTGACTTATTATTTACTCTTTTGTAGCACAGCAATAACATTAGGGAAAGATATTCTGATGGGGTTCTGTTACACAAACCCCACGAATAACATTATCTACTAAAGTAACAGTCCTGCTTAGAGGTTGGACTGTAGATCAAATATGACATAATTCTAAAGACTCATCTTTGGTTTGGAAATGTTTTCTTCTGTGGTACATACAAACCGTTAGCGTTATCACAGCTAACGCGCTAACGCACGCTAACTCTCTCCGGCTGAGCGGTGACGTCATATAATCAAATCAAGCTCTGTTTACTTTTCTCGTCAGAATAAACGGAGCATTCATTTATCTCCAAACACATGCGGTGTGTCGTCCACAAAACGTAGAAGTGATCTGATTACTCCTTAGTTGCTTTTAGCATTTTCAAACTGATCAGGAAGCCATATGCTAAACACCGTTAGCTTAGATAAGTTTCTTGTTCATCTGCACAAAGATTTGTTAGATTACCTAAATCAGCATTATCTAAATCCATAAGTTTTATTTTATTTTCTCAAATTGTGCAGACACAGCTCTGATATGTTTACCTACTCGTTACTGAAACCTACAGCAGAAATAAGGAGACCAACACTTACGTGGTCACTAGAAAATGTGCCATGTCCGCATCCTTTTTCAGGCCCAAATCCAGCTGAAGCAGCCTCCATTCTTCCAGAGCGTAACCAATAGATATTCGAGTCCCTGACCGACTTTTATCATATTTTCTTTTTAACTCTCGAGATGCCGCTGATAAAACCTTCTTCTTTGTGCCACTTTAGCGGGCTTTGAGTGGCGCTTGGTCGTTTGCAAGTTGTAGAATCCATTTCCAGGGTTCTTCCTCTTCTGTTTAGGGTTTTAACGTGGCTAGTAGTGAAAGACGCATTACCGCTACCTAGCAAGCTTCCAAATGTTTTTCCGGGTTTGGCCCTTGTCGAGAACGCGCTTGAAGCGTCAATTAACATCATATCCGTAATACAGCGCGGGAAATTCGGATCAGGAATGTTTTGCATTTTGCAGCACACAGCGTGATTAACAAAATGGAATGATAAACTGGTTTTATCATTCTTTTTAGTTTAAAATGCTTCATCATCCATAAGCTTCACAAGAATGAACATGTACTTTTTGTTTTTGGACAATTCCTGCCCCATGCTCCTTTAAGAAAAAAAAGGAAGATATGTAATTGTTGTCCTTTGAATGAATCAACCTCAGAAATCTTTAAAGAAGCAAAGGTGACATATCGGAACATGGCTTTCTCACAAGCTCAAGTCAACATAAGACAAGTTGTTGCTTTTCTCTTCATCAATATTGTAATGCCCAGCAATGGTCAGTTTTTAGGTACTGTTTGACCATTCAACATCTGGTCAAAAAGGAGACACGAGACTGCATGTGTCCCCTTTAAATCAGCCTGCCTTCATCCCACCAGCTGGATCTCAGAGCCTGCAGCTCTGAACACAGATAACAAAATGTCAATAACACTCTCATCAAGGTCCAATCTTTCAGGATTCTTCATGCCTTCATATAAGGAACACTCGCAGCCCGGATTATTTGCTAAATCAAAAAATGATTTCCTAAATCAAATATGAACTTCTACAACTTATAAGCTAGATAATCATTAAATAAACATTTGTTTATTGCTACTTATAATAATTATTATATAATGAAATGTTTCATTAATCTGTGCTCAATGATTGAAGTTTGAAATGAAAGTTATGTTATGATTTCAGTGATTGAAATATGTTTCAGCATGTTTATATGACAAGGTCATCACCACTGGCACTCACACAAGAACAAGCAAGGTTAAGTTAAACTCATGACACATAAATAGTCCTCTACCCCAGAGCAGAGCATCTGGTAAAAAGGAAGGTGTGTTTCTGAGATTCTTGGTAATATTCCTCAAACTTGTCAACCTCTGGTTGGCTACACAAATCATAACATGAGAACATTAAAACTGGATCACTCTGGTGATTCCTCAGTTCTAGAGAACGCTTCAGACCGGCCATCTGAAGCAAAACCCTCTTTAACCCATAAAAGCTTTTGACACGTCGTCAAAACCTTTTAGCACCTGCAAAGCTGACACAGCAAACAGTTCCTGCAGAACAAGCTGATCTTGTTCTGACTCCTTAAAGATTCCCAGACACGCGGTTCCATCCATCTGTTACCCAAGACATCTCTGGACTGAAGAGTCGGTGCCCTATTCTACAGCCCTCCGGTGCCAGAGGTCATCCAACCTCTCTAAAATTAGGATCTACCAAGAGGGTTTCCGAAAATGGGTGAAGTAGACACACAGATTGCATCTGATGTGCTTTTAATAATAATCAACTTCATAGCTTAACGCAAACCTAATTCTTTTGCATCCAGAACTCAGCTCTCCTAAATACGGAAGTTCTGACTAACATCGCATTCACACATAGGTTTCATACATCACATTTAGTTCCATCCATCACAGTAAATGTTAGTTAACTTGTCATGTTTTAATTGTTGGTAAAATAAATTCTTACTTTTATAAACCTGACTCTTTTCTGAATCAAAACGAAGTGTTTACAATCCCCTAATAAATAAAGAATCCTTGAATCTTCTGATTAAACACCGTAAAGACCAAGCAGGGTTTATATTCCATATTTATATGGAGTATCACAGCTTATTGGTCATAAGTAGAGGTTATATATATATATATATATATATATATATATATATATATATATATATATATATACTGTCACACCCTGTCCTGTCTTCTCTTAGGTTTTAGTCTGTGTCTCCGTTACTTGCTCCCACCTGCCTCTTGTTTCCCAATCACCATAGCTCCCGTTCCTCGTGTATTTAAACCCCTTCTGTTCTGTGTTCCATGTCGTGTCATTGTTTCATTGTCCAGCGTGTCTCAGAATAAATCATCGCAAGAAGTCCTGCCTGTTTCCTCCCCGGTTTGGATCCTCGCCTCTCCTCGGCTTACTTCACCGGCACGCGTGACAACCACCAGCAGGCAAGGGGGGTTAAGTGTCTTGCCCAAGGACACAATGACCGCGACAAACTGAGCGGGGCTCGAACCTGCAACCTTCTGATTACGGGGCAAGCACTTAACTTTTCAGATCCACATCTGAAAACCTCCTGGCTGTTCCTTGAACCAGACTGAAAACCAAAGGGGACAGGGCCTTTCAGACTATTGCCCCCAGACTTTGGAACAGTCTGCCTTCAAATCTCTGTCTCTCTGACACTGTAGAGGTCTTTAAAAATCATCTAAAAACTCACTTTTTCATCCAGGCGTTCCCTCCCTAAATGTTCTAAAAGATGGCTTTGTTCGGGTTCACACCTTCACTTTGTTTTTACTCATGATTTTATTTACTATTTTATCACTGCTATTGTTTTTCTGATGTTTTTATTGGTTAGAGGTATTTGCCCTGATCTTACTCATGTTGTACAGCGCTTTGTGATTTATATCTTTTTAAAGGCGCTCTATGAATAAACTTTTACTTACTTACTTACTTACTTAACTCCTGTGCCACCGTCGCCCAAGATGATGTTGTTCCTCTCCACTGCCAGGATCAAAGCCATGAAAAACACACCGCTGCACTTATGGAACAATACTGGGAGTAAATAAGCTGTTGGGTCACACGTAAGCTACATGAAATTCCATTGCTGCAGTACTTTTATTTTGAAAATTACCAGGGATTTTACACTGAAACCGTGTGTGGTTTCCTGTCTAGCCCTACGTTAACTGTGAAAACTGACGTGTCCCTAAAGCGACTCGGCAAAAATAGAACCTGTTTCTATCATCAGCGGTGCAGTGTGCCGCTTCAGGGATGAGCCTGAAAAATGCCACATTGTGGCTGGTTTGAAACACTCCATAGACTATAACGGATTCTATTTAAAGCAGCGGCATTCTGCCGCCGTTCCACGCTGCTGATGCTTTCAGTGCAAAATTGGGGTAAGGCTCCCTAATGCCGCTTCAGCGCTGCGGGAAATTGACAGCACTGTTTTGTAAAAATGGCTTTTAACAAAACTCCCAGCTGAAGTAAAGACAGCAGCACTAATGTTAACTGATCAGAATTTTACATCCATTTCCATTTCTAAAACCTCTTTGTGTTCAGATCTCAGCAAATGCACCTTCCAGTTACACTTTTGGTTATTTGGTCCATCTTTACAAGGTGTCAACATGTCTAATGCAGTGATTCAGATTGTGTTTATGTCTCTTGGTGACAAAAATAACAAGCATGTGGAAACCTACAGGAACTGATATTGTTTAGTTTCTGTGAGTCACAAATGATGCGGATTGTGAGAGTACATTGTGAACTATTTTATACGTAACTGAACATGTATTTTTACTAAATTTGCATGTTTCTCAATTTGCTTGCAATTATGTCAATGGCCAAATCAGATTTCTGAGAAATATGTCAAATAGACCAACTCAGTATCAGTTCATCTTCAAATGTACCTTGTTTTATGGGGGTTGTATTTTGCAGCCCAGT